ATGGAAGTGCTTGTGAGTTTGGAAGGTGCTGTCTTAGAGTCTTGGTGAATTTCTGCATTGCATCTTGTAGATGGTGCGCACTGCTGCTTCTATGCATTTTTTAGAAGTGGAGAGACTGCATGTTTTTGGTTGAGGAATCAATCAAGTGGGTTACTTTGTCCCGAATGGTGTCAAGCTTCTTGAATGCTGTTGGAGCTACTCTCATCCAGACAAGTGCGGAGTATTCCAACACGCTTTTGTGAGAAGCTGGACAGGATTTGAGGAGTCAGGAGGAGAGTCACTTGCTGTAAGATTCCTAGCCTCTGCTGAGGTAGCCATTGTTATTTATGTGGCTAGTCCAGTTCAGTTTCTGGTCAATTGTAACACCCTGGGTTTTGATAGTGTGGGATTACCGTTGAATGTCAAAGGGTGATGGTTAGATTCGCTCTTATTGTAGATAGTCATTGCCATTTATAAGCCCCACCCTGGTTATTGTCCAGAACTTGTTGCATTTGGGGCATGAGCTACTTCAGTATTTGAGGAATTCTGAATGGTGTTGAACATCGTAGTCATTAGCAAACATTGCCACTTCTGACCTTAAGCTGGAAGAAAGGTCATTGATGAAGCAGCTGAAGATAGTTATGCCTAGGACACTACACTGAGGAACTCCTGCAGAGATGTCCTAGAGTTGAGATGACTGACCTCCAACAACCACAACCATCTTCCTTGTGCTTAGCATGACTGCAGCTAGCAGAGAGTTTGCCCCCGATTCCCTTAAGCTCCAATTTTGCTGGAGCTCCTGATGCCACAGTTGGTTGAATGCAGTCTTGATGTCAAGGCCTGTCACGCTTATCTCACCTGAGAAATTTAGGTCCTTTTTGCCTTTCGAGCCAGGGCTGTAATGATGTCAGGAGCTGAGTGACAGTGTTGATAGAACTGTTGATGACACCTTCCATCACATTGTTGATGATTGAAAGTAGACTGATGGGCCAGTAATTGGCTAGGTTTGACTTATCCTGCTTTTTGTGTACAGGACATACCTGGGCAATTTTTATATTGTCAGGTAGATGCCAGTGTTGTAGCTGTTCTGGAACAGCTTGGCTAGATGTGTGCCAAGTTCTGAAGCACATGTTCTCCAGGCCCATATCCTTTGCTGTTTCCAATGCCTTCAAATATTTCTTGGTATCACAAGTAACTGGAATTATCTGTGATGCTGGGGTCCTGTTAAGGAGGCCAAGGTAGATTGACTACTTGACACGTCTGGCTGAAAATTATTGCGAATGTTTCAGCCTTATCTTTTACACTGATATGCTGGGCTCCCCCAATAATTGAATAGAATGGAAGTTTATTGTCATATGTACTTTTATGTGAAAAGTTTTATAAGTCACCCCTTCATGGCACCTACGTCAATGACAGAAGTAAAACGTAATAATAAAACAAGTCCATCACAGTTCAGTTAACGGCTCCTGGGCAGGGAAAGACAAATAAGGACCGATGGAATACGCTGAAGATGCAGCTAGGACAAAACTGCCAGACTGGGCCGCTCAAATACTGGGCCAGAGTCCTCCTCCAAAGAAGACTGTTATGCTGGGCCGAGATCACCACTTCTGGATAAGACCGCCTGCTGGGCCACTGGAATACCTGGACACCAACGACGAAGAAGACCTCCACACCAGGACAAAACTGCCATGCCGGTCCAAGACTGACTTTTTCCTCCTTCAGGTGACCAGGCCTAACTGTGGACCTGGAGCCTCAGCCTAGCCTGTGAGTCTGAGCCAAGGGAGTCAGCCCATGATCTGCTCCTTGCTCACTGGGAGACCCTGGGCTGGGGTGAAGCCATGATTGGCTCATCCTGGCGTTGCTGTCTCTGCCACTGCCATTGGAGGCCGCCTCCTTCACCTGCCACTCTCCAGGCTTAAAAATAAAATAACAAGAAAAGAAAAAGAGAAAGAAAGCCGACAGGACCGGACATGCCCTGGGCTCAGCACCCCTATTCCACTGCCAACTTGAAAGAGATATTGAGAATGGGGATGTTTGTAGAGCCTCCTCCTCCAGTGAGTTGTCTAATTGTCCACTACTGTTCATGACTGGACGTGGCCAGCCTACAGAGCTAAGATGTTGGCTGTGGAAAGGTTCTATGGAAATTTAAGGAAAGTTGAGTGTTGTCCCTTCCATTCCATCTATCCTTTTAATTATGGGTTTTTGTTAATTATTGCTCGCCAACCTCTGTTGAAAATTAATTATTGCAAGTGTCAAAGCTCACTTTGTCAGATTTAAGCAGTTGTAAAATGTAAACTTTATTTCTTTTTCCTTTTATTTTCTTTATCTTTCTATTAGTCTAACATTTCTTTCTCTCTCAGTTTTTGTTGTATTAAACTTTAGCATTGAATTCACCCACTCAAATTTATACTTTTAAAATCATAGAATCATTGAATCCTTACTGTGTGGAAAGAATCCATTTGAACCTGGTCCATTGACTCTGAACCGACCCTCTGAAGAGTATCCCACCCAGACCCACCCATCCCCATAACCCAAATTTACCATGTCTAATTCCCTAGCCTGCACATCCCTGGGCACTACAGGACAATTTAGCATGGCCAATCCACCTAACCTGCACATCTTTAGACTATGGGAGGAAACTGGAGCACCTGACGGAAATCCACGCAGACACAGGGAGAACATGCAAACTCCACACAGACAGTCACCCAAGGCAGGAATCAAACCTAGGTCCCTGGCGCTCTGAGGCAACAGTGCTAACCACTGAGCCACCATGCTCCCCAGCACACTATGCTGGCCATTTCAAAATCCTTCAATTAGTAGTACTGTTGACACTATTCCCTGAATTTTCTCATCATCAGGCACACATTCAGAAACTTTGCAATCTAAAATAACAAATTTGCAAGGGTAAGACTAACTAATCGCGTTTGCTGTTAAATGTATTGCTACAGAAAATAATGATAAATAACATTTTATATTTAATTGCTAATCACCCTTTTAAATTTGAGAAGCTATCAAACACTTTACAGTAAAATTAAGAAGGTAAGTGATAAAGCAAGCAATGCCATTGAAGTTGCTTTAGGTCCTTGTAAAATGCATACATCATCAGCAGTAGATGGTAGAAATCTGTATACACACACTCATATCAACTGGAACAAGATTAATTTTGTAAAACTATCCCAAACTATACCCTGTGCCAAATTAAACAAAAAGTATTTTTGTGTTGTACACTCCCTGTGGCACCTGTTTGTGGTAAATGTGCAGCAGTTGAACTTTGGGAATACACGGCTGGAAAAACAAGTATCAACTCATTCTTCAATTCAAATGCTAGCATTGTTTGCATGCTGGATTTTTTAATGAGTAGTTACAACAAAGGGGCAGTGTATCTAATATAATGCAGAAACATTAGGAATTGGCGTAGAAGACATCAATCCCTGTAGTCTGCTCCTCCATTCAATTAGGTCAAGTCTGATTTGCACCTCAAACCCATTTTGTTTTTATTCATTCACGTGGTGGGTGTGTTGCTGGCCAGGCCAGCATTTATTGCCCATTCCTGCTTACTTTGGAGAAGGTGAACTGCCTTCTTGAGCTACTGTCGTCCTTGCAGCATGCAGACATCCACAATGCTGTTGAGTACAGAGTTAATTTAGGAAGATAAGATACTGAGCTGTCTTTACTCCATGTCCTTTTTCTTGAACACCCAAGCTCAATAACACAATTTAAAAGCTCCAGTTTTATCAGAATGTAGATTGTGCTGGAATGGGTTTCCAAATTTCTACAGCCCTTTGTCTAACAAAAAAAGTACTTTCTGATTCTGCTCCTGAATGGCCTAGTTCACTTTGAAGATTATGTTCCATGTTCTTGATTACCCCATCAGCAGAAATAGCTCCCTGCATCTAGGCCATCAAATCTTTTTTTACAGTTGAAACACTGTGATCAGGTCATCCCTCAGTCTTTTTTATTAATTTCTTTCCTATAGTCTACAGATTAAATAAGAAGTAAAGATAGTCATTTTAATTCCAAGGAATTGTGGGAGTTTATGCCCATTGTGGAATAGTAAAAGAAAAGCTAATGGATGAGCAGGACTCGATGCAGAATACAATACAGTTAGCAGACATTTAATAAGTGGACAATGGGAATCCAGCTATGCAAACATGGCATAGTCTTCAGTGTCATTGTATTGGACCTGTGCAATGTGTTTTAGACTTGTAATCATGTTACCAAAGTTGAAATCAAGCAGTCGCAAAAGCAAATATAACACAGTAGCTTGCGCACACTTTTGTTTTACAGTAATGTACATTCTTTGAAAATGTGTTAACATGTAAGATTAAGCATTTGAGGAAGACGTAATCTGTTGTTTGTCAGGAATTCATAAATTTTATTGTTTGTGATTCAGATTATAATTATGGACCTTTACCTTTGTTAGTCAATTTAAATATCCTTTCTAAACGTGTCATACAATATGGCAGCATGAAGTTTATAAGGGGTTAAGTTAAAGAAATCATTGGGCTTAATGTGAGCAATCAAGAGCTCTCAATAATGTCCTGTTGCTTCAACAATTAATTTTCCTTACCACTTTTCCTTCTGCTGAAGACATTAACTCTGTGACATTCCATTGTTTTACATCTTTAGCTAAATGACTTCTTCATGTGGATACCTTAACAGTGAGTGATGGCAATTTATTTGAATGTGAATAAAAATTATAGCTTAGCATGATCATGTCTTTTTGACTACTAGAGAGAGCCACTAAAAGGCAAGCAGAGTCACAATTCTTGTCTTACTCTTGTCTTGCTCTTCCTACCCTAGTGGTGCTGAAGCCAAGTGTCACTTGCTCACTACTCTGGCTGAGATCAGCTGATAGTACAGATCAAATATCTGCAATCTTCCTGGTTTGTGTGACTTAACAATTCATAAGCGACTTGTTGAACTCTAGTCCAGCACAATGTGTGTGATATGATGCCTATGACACAGAACATGGAATGATCGATTTGCTCATTCTAATGGCAGGGCTCTTCTTGTTCCAGATTTGACTGTTTATTCAAGATGGAGAGCACGTTTGAAGTTATCCTAAACACTCAATTGAAACAGGTAAACATATACAGAATTTACCATTGCAACATAACAGCAGGCAGATATCAACAGACAACAGCAGGCTCACATGCCACATGTGTCACATGGGGTTCACAATTACATGTATTTAAATAAAGGCTTAATTTTTTTTTGCAATTATGATGTTTTTAAGAATATCATTTTGGGACTGAAGTTTAAATTCAAGGTAAATGAAAGAGGTTATATGACCTGTTCTGCAATCTGCTTATCGTTTTACTTGGATGGTTTGTTTGTTGGCAATTGAAGGATAATTCAAATTGTTTTACTGAGAAGAAGGTGCAATTTCTTCCTAACCTAACATTTGGTGATCATGGCTGGACTGTGAATTTCTCACTTTACCAGAAAGGTGTAATAAGTACACCAAATCCTCAGTTAGATTTGTAATTGCATTTCTGAAAATTGCAACTTTAGGGGGAGTCATATTTTCCCAGGGAATCAGGAAAAAACTGAAAGGTTTACAATCTTGATATATCATTATCTCTGATATTTATTTTTAACCTTTTCTCCTCTCCTTATCTGAAGATGCAAACACTTGCTGGTGTACCATTCCACTGTGCTGGCTTACCTCAGTGTTGTCTCAAACCGCTGCAATTCTGTTCCCGTGTGGAGGATGACTTGCACGTTGAGATTGGTAGTGGAATACTGGGAACAAAGTCAAAATGCTGATTCATACTTGCCTTGTTTTTTTGATAGACAAGCATTTGATACTGAATAAAACATGCCAATTTAAGTTTGGATATGTTGTTACTAGCCTTGATATTAAAGTACGTTCCGCCCTTGTTACCAGGATTTCACTACATAACTTTAAATGTTGCAGTAAGGCACATTCTAACATGAGCACAGGGAGAAGAAATAGCTTTTAACCTATCTGAACTGACCTTTTGATATTGGTGCTTTTCTGCATGTTACTTGTTTCTTTCAATTGTTTGCTTGTGCATTTCCATTCATTTAGTTTCAATTTTAAAGATGCACACTGGCATTAAAAACATCTCCCCTAACATAGGTCTCTTTAATCTCTAGATATTAGCACTCACTTCTCACCGCAGTACAAAACAGAATTGGAAATGTCTGGTTTTGAACTGTGCCACAATAGGAACGTCATTGATACTTTAACAAATTATTGGAACATTCCCAGTCCCAGGAATCCAGATCTCTATGTTCTTAACTCATTACAGAAGAAGTGCAAGAAAGTACCAGATATATTTAAATAAATACGTAGTGAAAGGTCAAAGAAAAGTGCAGGCAGAATAAAATAACCCAACTAAATGCATTGGCACTGTTCATGCAGCAAGGGTAAAATTTCTGCCCAATATATAGACCTGGTTAGTATTGGTAGTCAATTTAATCTTAATCCATCCTGATGTAGACTTCAGCTAGCAGTCACAAATACATTCTTTTCTCCAAGATTGAAAGCTAAAATTCCAACTTGCTTTTTCACTATCAAGCGCAGAAAGGTTGTTAAAAATTAACTCAGTACAGAGTGAGCAATGATCCAAAATTCAATTCTCATTTCTCTTAGTGTTATGATTGCACCTAATGTCCTAATGTTATTCCTGAATAAGTCAGACCCTAAATTAAAATCTGATTGGATAGGTCCTATTTTGCATTTTTGGTTTTAACAATGCAGTCTCTCATTGAAACTTAAACATGATGTTGCAGATTTGTTTTCAACAATAAAACTGAAGTTTCCTATGTAAAGGAAGTTAAGATAAAATAGAATCAATTGAAATATTTACCTATAATAGACATTTAAAGATTTTGAAACACTGAGTGAAAATATTATTCCATTAATCCCAAAAGCACCCCTTTATAATACTAAGCAGAGAATTTCATATTCTATCATCTCATTTATAAAGGGTTGCTTAGCTCACTTGTTTGGATGAGCTGGATGACTTGTTTGTGATGTAGAGTGTCACCAACAATGTGAGTTCAATTCCCGCACCAGCTGAGTATACCATGGAGGACTTTCCTTCTCAACCTTCCCATTGCCTGAGGGGTGGTGACCTTCAGGTTAAACCAACACCAGTTATCTCCCTCTAAAGAGGGTTAAACCCTATGATCTGTGCCATATGGTCTGTGACATTACCTTGTGGAACTTAATTTAGATGTGATTTTAGATGTGAGAATCTGATAGCCTCTTCTTGGAGTCTTCATACTAAAATTTCTCAGGTTCAAATAATCCTTTTAAGGTTTTAACAACCCTTCTGGTCTGAAACTTTGCTAAACTCCTTACACTGAGATATTCTAACTCCCTTTCTTAGGAGAAGCTGCTTTACATATCTAACTTCAGCCAAAAGCCCCACAGAACTGCTCAAACTGAATTTAAATAGAAACCTTCGTTTCCAGCCTAAGGATTTATCCTCAAGTCAAAAGAGAAAGGATTAGTCCCTTCTAACTGGAGCCTAATGCACAACTATTTACTTTGTTTGCTGCTAAATTTTCCCAATCTACGCACAGACTACTCTCTGAGAAGTCTTTCTCTCAAGAAGTGTTTTAAAAGAAATCACCACATTTACACACACGTTTACTAGATAATCATTACATCCCTTCTGAAACACAAAAAATCTATTTGCCACTAGTTCAAATTCCATAATCCAAACACATAATTAAATGATATTAAATTATATGTAGTCATACACTTTATGCCAAATTAGTTAACTACTAATTCAGTTATCAACTGAACCATCAGGAGATGCTCTACATTAAGAAGGCTTAATGGCACATGTCAGTTGACGTGTAGAAGGATCTTCTTTGTATTGACATAGAATGGTTACAGTGCATATGAAAATTATTAGGCTCATTAAGTTTTGCAAGACTCATTTTCTTATACCCCCACACCCACCACTCTTTCCTTGTACATGTGTTCCCTTCAGAAAACTATCCAATTTCATTGTGAAAGGTATGATATTATCTGCTTAGGGGCATCAGACTCTCAGTGCATTACTTATCCTAACCACATGCTGTGTAAAGCATTTTCTTCTCCTATTGCTTTTGTTTCTTTTGCGAACCACATTATGGTTTTCCACTTTCCACCAACAGGTTATCTTAATCCTCTCCCTCTTGACATCAAATCTCCGCTCAATTTTCTCCTCTTTTTTACAATCTGACATGTAACTGAAGTTCCTGGAACCATTCTTCTAACTTCTTTCTGCATCCTCTCTTGCACTTTCATATTTTTGCTAAATTGTGAAGCCCAGAATTGAACGATACTCCATTTGAGGTTCTGTCTGTGTTTTGTAAAGATTCACTATAATTTGCTTTGTTTTGTACTCTGTCACAATATTTATAAAACCTAAAATACCAGATGCATTATTAATCACTTCTTTTTGTGCCCTTTGATCCTCAGTGATTGAATCACAAATTAGTGTAGGTCCTTATGCTTCTCCACTCCCTTTAGTTTTGTGTCTTTTATTCTATATTGTCTTTCCTCATTTTTCTTAACCAAAATGCATTGCGTCACCTTTCTTGGCATTAAATTTTATCAGCTCTCTGTCTACCCATTCTACCAGCCAATGTTATCTTGAAGTCGTTGGCATAGATTATAAATAGATGCTAATCCTTGTGGAACTCTGTCGGTTAAATACTGCCACCCCCAAAATATCAGCAAGACCTTATTTTGATCCATCATCCACATGTTTGTTAAGCAATTAATGATTCAATGCTGCTGAACTATTGAAAAGTTGTCCCATTCTGTATTTACAGTATTGTTGTGCCACTGTCAAGAACTGACAGACTGCGTGTGTTGGTAGTCACCAACTTGAGAGTTTGCTGAACAGTTATCAATGGTTTACTAATCCTTGCTGTGGTTGACTAATTTCTGCTTCAAGCAGGCTTCTCTGTCCTTCTCCCCTCCCCAATGTCAAATAGTGTATGGAAACCAGAAACAGAATACCACAATGCTGTTAATTAAGCAAGGTGCATGTGCAATCTCATTACAGATTTGTTCATCTGTTACCGACATTTGGGTGGGTAGGGGAGGAGATATGCCTCTAATTGTGCAGGGAAATTGTCACAGCCAGGTGACGTTAAACCACTTCCATCAGCAGTAATTCTGAATCATAGAGACTAAATGTATAAGATTTAGTATTTCCTTTTCAGATGGAGGACATGCGCCTGTAGGTAGGTATGTGCTGCCATCTTTTGAGAGGAAGGCAATCTTACATTTTGAGAAAATTCACAGTTGTAACTCCAGGATTTCTGGATGAGCAGTGAGCACAGCAGGAAACAGATATTTTGAGGACAAAGTGGGATAAGAGGAGAGTGATACAAAAGTCTATCTCCATCCCAGGCCTAGGGACCGAGAGATAGAAAAACAAAGTTTCCCAGTTGGAATCCTAAAGAAGCAGTGTAATTTGGAAAAACAGAGGAATTGAAACCAAAAAGACCAGCAGACCATGTGTAAAGGCTTGTTTACACTTTGACTCATTTACCTTTAGGAAAAGACAAAACCTAGTTAACCCCATGAGCCATTCTATATTCCCAGCTGATAATTGATAGGAAGGTCACATTATTTCCCCTTAGCATTTGTGTATTTCACTGACTCTACTAAGAGGAACAACCAGTTTGAAAGGGGAAATTTATATTGGTGTTGTCTTGTTAGTTGGCTCAGCTTCTTCTATGGCAAAAATAAATGAAAGCAGTTGAAAAGCAGGGATTTGAACCCAAGTTGAACAAATTAACTTATACATAATAGAACTGAAATACTGTGGATGCTGGAAATCTGAAACATACGCTGACAGTGCTGGAGAAACTCAGCACATGTGACAGCATTTGTGGAGAGAACAACCGAGTTAACATTTTGAGTCCAGTATGACTCTGTCAGAACCTAAGCGTCATACAGGTCTCAATGTTAATTCATGCATAAAACTGCTAACAACGTAGGGAATTAAGAAAATGATCACCAGTACCAATTACAAACTCTATATGTTTTAATTAATTTGAGACTATGATCAGAATGAATTTTATAAAACTACATTTCA